TGAAGGTAGGGGTGACCGATATATCAAATATACTCGACGTATCTCAAGTTTCCCCACGCACAATACTCAAAATGACTATCACAACCATGGAGTACAAATTCACATGGTGACATTAAGCCATCTGGATCTATTTCACTGAGTTTTATTTTCCCCACACACTTTGAATGCATCAAAATCCCTCAACCACACAAGATTATTTTCTGTGCAGAAGGCACACTAAACAACCGGCAAATGAAATATGGTGAGAGCAGGTGTTAAGCTAAGCAATATATGGCAGAGGTTTGATTTTCACACCGAGGGCGTCGAACAAAAGACGCTAATTTGTAAGACGTGCCGCAAAACCATTGCTGCAAAAGGTAACAGTACAAATTTATTCTACCACCTAAAAAGTCATCCACTGTAAAGCCGGGCATACACTGTGCGATTAGTTTTTTCAATCGTTGCAGGAAGCTACAGCTCACACTGTACGATAAAACCGCAAGGTTTCGTCGTACAGTGTGAGTCCACAGCTCACGATGTCTGTTCTCATACTGTGCAGCACGACGCCCTGATGCAATATACCTGCTCACACTATACGTCTAAAAACCACGTTGGACTCCGGTCCGCAGTGAGATGGCGCAACTTGGACTCGTCTATCCAGAAGCCACACCAGTAGAAGAGGAATATGAAGTTCGCTAGAGTGAAACCCGCTGCCTTCGCAATTTGTGTAATTTCGTGCTGAAAAGCCCTAAGAAGAAAAGGCAGCGATGTATTTGGACAAAGACATGGCTGAGCAAACATGGCTACTACGGTCTGTCAATTTTACACAAAGAACTCCATTTCACTCGCACCCCAATCATACTTCTGTGTGTATATCTGAGAGGAAGAAGACGACGATGAGGCCCTGTTTGCGCATCGAGCAATTTGTCCACGACAATTGACTGAAAAATCCTTTTTTATATTTTCTCCCGATTCCTGATCGGGAGGTGGTCGTGAGAGGCTGATCGCACCTCGTTATCCCCTGTACACTACATGACGCTGAAAGTCAGGCAGATCGAAAATTCTTGCACTAATTGAAGGTCGCCAATGTTGAAAACACTGCATATCAGCCTCTCCCTGCATCAACAAAAAAAAGTTAAATAAATCAGCTGTGAAGCAGGTGAAGTTGTTCTAGTCGTTTTAAAAAGTGGTCCCATATGAGGGAAAAATGAAGAAATCTCAAGTGAGATTGTAGAGATTGTAGTTTCAATATATCATCTGTTTCTAATAAATCTATATATTCAGCAGATTTCCCTCCTAATTTAATTACAAAAATAAATAAAGTTGTCCATGAAGTTTCGATCTGTTGAAATGATATCTAGGTTGCCCTCAGGTTAACCTGAAGCACCTGCAGCACAAACTGAAATTCTTTCGGGGAAACTGAGGTTTCAAAGCCCCTCCCAGAGACATGTATCAGATCTATTAATAAGCAGGCAAACTAGACCTCACACTGTCAATATGTCCACAGAGGACTCAAAATTTCTCATCTATAAATTTTTTTATAAGATATCTCAAGCCCATCTCTCTGGATGTGTCGTTTTTATTTTAAAAGCAGTCATACTATCAAAGCACCATGTACTGTACTTGATTAATGAAAAACTATATCTTGGTTACCTGGTAACTTAAAATATATAAAAAATATTTTTTCTAAAGCAGCAAATAAAAACCATTTCTGATTGAAACTACATTTCCCACAGACACAATCATTTTAACCCATGAAACCAATACAACGTCCTCAATCATGATGCACAAACACAGACACGTCAGATTGAGGCCTGTAACAACATGCATAATCGCTGGAGCAGCACATTGGCTCAGAGCGGGGATGCTCACGCCTTGTGACTTCTGACCTATTTAAAAAAGCATTAAGTCCAATCTCAGCAGAGATGACAGTCTTTTAAAAGTAAACATGAGTCTGTTGACCTCTTTACTTCCAGCGTAAACGGGGTAGAATATGTCAGAGATGTTGAAGGGCTTTCCGCTCATCATACTTTTCCATCATGAATGACACAGATTCTACATTTCAATATAAAATAAAACCGAATCCACCAATCAAACAGGCCCAACATAGACACCTAAGTTATCTTGTATATTGCAAGAGTAACAACTTGTACAGGAAAGAAAAAACCTTGTGAGCAGCTGCAAACATACATTTATATTATGCTCAAAGGTATCCAACCAATGGGACTGCCAATGGGCATAGAGCTAACCACACATGCATTACACCTACATCTAAACACTGAATAATTATGGAGATATTCCATAAAGAATATTAGTAATATAAAACTGTAGCCACAATGACATAATAAGACAAACACATTATATTTATCACAGGTTGAGGTTCGTCTTGGTTACATTTGAAGAAGAAATATATTTTGTTTTCAACTGATACAGATCCTCCATCAGTGTATCTTACTGTTTATGCTGCAGGCAGTCATCACTAGCAGGCTGAAAGCTGGGAGTCCAAGCATAGTTATTTTACTCCTGCTATTTTTTCGAGATTCCAGCATTAATGCACCGCTTTTTCCTAAACATCTTTGGAAAATCAATGACATGTAAAACTTCTTTCTCTATTTAAATTCATAAAATGTAATTCAGTAATTTAATTCACTACACAGAGAGACGTAATTTATGCATTTATGTTGATACTGATTTAAAAAAGAAAACTCAGTCTATATCCTGTAAAGTATTCAATAAAGCCCTGATCAGCCCTTTTAATTCATTTCTGCACCACTAGGCATGGCATGGAGGTGTTGCAGGTTGGTTTTAAGCTGGCCAACCAGATTTTGCAGGAAGAAAAAAAAAATAAAAAGTTACTATGACACCAGAAAATGACTTTGGACCTGATGTTGATCTTTGATGTTCTTAATATCATTGTATAAAACATACTGAATAGCCTGTTTTTTTTAAGCTGATCATTCTACCAAATTCTCTTGCATCATTAAAAGGGTTTTAAACAGTGTCAGTAGTAAACAACAAGATAAAATATCTTTATTAGTTTGAAACTTTGGCAAACCAAGACATTGGTAACAAGATCAAATCTGGAAAGCAATTATTAAAAGTACTCTGTTCACAAGGGGGAAAAAAGGAAATCAGGAAATAAAAAAATAAAAAGTTCCCTTTAGCTATAAAATGTTTTCTACTCAGTGTGTGTCGGGCAAAAACTGGATGATAATATCTGATAACAGACTGGGTGGAGATAGAGGCACTTTAATGTGAAATCTTCCAGACTTACAGGTTTAAATCTTATTTCTAGAAACATTTATGAGTTGTTCAAAGTTGAAGATTGGATGAAAAAAAAATAAAACCTTCAAAAGTCTCAAAGGTCAACCCAAAAAGCCACCATCTTCAAACCACTGGTGCAGGCCAGTCTTTAAAATGAAAGATTTAATCTCTGTTAGATTATCCCTATAAAGAAAGGGTAGACAGAGAAGATGTCGGCGATAAAATGTCAGGGTCACGATTGTTTTTCTAACAGAGAAAAAGCCATAATGTCAAAAAGGCAGCGGCTCGATGTTCCCTGAAATTTCAGGGATTTGGGCACAAGTTTCCAAAATAAAAGTTATACAAACTTCTATCCAGCATTATAAAACAATGTAAACAAATGTTTTTATTAATTAATTAATGGAATATAATAATATATGAGAGTCCCTTTTTGATGCATATATATACAACTATGATTATTCTTTCTGCAGGAAGAACTGATTTTATCATTTTAATCAGTCGGTTGACAGTCGGTTTTCATCTATTCTGTCAATTTCATGTTGCTGATATTTTTTAAAGTGTTTGACTCAATTGATATAGTAAAAACCCAACAGTTAAGTCATCTGAAAGAATATATTTAAAACATTTCCAAACGGAGCAGCATCCTACTGCTAACAACGCTGTTAAAACAACATAAAACCACTGATTGCTTTTATTCTGAGCCTGTGCTTCTTTTCAATTGTTCCTCTCAGCATTTTACTACTTTGAAGCTGCATAAAGACATTCTGGAGTGATAATAATGTGCAAATTAATCCATTCAAAATTGCTTTTTGATTTAGAAATTGAGTACCGGTACATGAAACACTTTTTAGATAAGCGTGGGGTTTCAACAATGTTTGCGACACCAAAGCAAAACCCTGAATGCAAAAATTACTTTTTTTGTACACTGGGTATGATGTGAGCTTCCAAATAGAAAGCATGTCTCATTTTTAGCAACATTTCTAAATAAAGTATTTAATCGAAGAATTTAAGGTTCTTTGTATTTTTATGCTGTAAAGAAAACAACACTTTTTCCATTTCAACCCACATATACACATCCCTGCATACAACCCTTTTAATAAACGAAAAACCCACAATGTTCAAAGAAATAACTTCAATCTGACTAACGAAATAATAAATAAATATTCTATAAAATGAACACTTGAAAGACAGAAATTGCTTTTCAACCACTTCAACAGAATGATTTAAAAAATAAACCCATGAAACAGGCCCAGGCAAAAATAATGAACCCTTTAACCTCATATTTTGTTGCACAACCTTTGCACAATGATTCTTGTAACTGTCATCCAGAACTCTGCTCCTCTCAGCAGCTAATTTGGCCCACTCCTCATGAGCAAACTGCTTCAGTTTTCTCCAGACAGCATGTTTCAGCTCCTTTCAAACATTATTTATCACGTGTTCACTTTTTGCAGATTTTTGACTTCGTAGCACACCTTTATTTAACATGTCCCTTTGCGCACATTATTTTCAGTCTTTTCAGGGTACAAACATTTCTTTCCAGGTCTGTTCAATGAATTTATTTTTAAATTATTCTGTTGAAGCATGATTCAAAAGCAATGTCTGACTTAAATTTGATTTTTTTTTTTCCTGGAATCTTTATTCATTATAACTTTTGTCAGATTCATGTGATTTCTGTGACCATTGTAGGAATTTTCCGTTATCAAAAGAGGGTACCATCAATGTTGTTGTTGTGTGTACACACTTCAGCCATGCCTTACCTGCTTTGCCTGTTGAACACAGTTCATATACTGCTTGGCCAGGCTAGAGCAGTGCAGGGTCTGCTGTGGGTTTTCTCTGTAGCATTCGAGCACCTTAGCCTGCAGATCAGTGCACAGAGATTCACTGTGACGGGGCCTGGAAGCAGAGCACAGAGAGAAGGGTCAATGAGATGAAATTCCTCACTTACTCTAACAAATGGATTATCTGTGATGCTGTAATGACGTCTAGTTCAGGGGAGATGTTTCTCTTTTTACTGACAGCAATGGAGCAGAACTTACAAATTTAAAGCCAGCAAGAGCATATTTGCTAATGAATACTTTATTAGGGATTTGTTAATGTGTACAAATCTCTGTTGTTCTGTGTAAACTTAGAAAAATATTTCAGAGGCCTTTAATACCTCCCCATTAAAGAAAAACTAAAACAGACGTTTTTCAAACCCATTTTTCCCCAACTCTTTGGTTTACAAACTCCAGACACATAAAATTGTTGTATGCCACTTTTAAAACTTCTTAAAGGTATTGTGGAGGATTTTCGCAAATTTTTTAAATGACCCGCTCTCTCGACTTAAAAGAAATGCACATGCACAACCCTGTACCTGCTCCTAAAAGGGAACGGGTAAACGTGTGTGAGAGCATGCAGGAGCCTATATCTCCTCGTGCAAACCCTGTTTAAGAGTTGTTGTTCTTAAAGCTCATACAAGCTTACTGTTATCGAACTTCCACCTTAACCCATAAATCCCTTAATCACTCTATAGAGCGGGGACTGAACATTCGGGAAAGATGATCACTACATTTTACTCCCCGTTGGGAACATAACTCCTCCTCCACCTCGCTGTGCCTGTGCCATCTTTGTTATTAGCCTCCAATGTGGAGTGGTGACAGCGGGCAGCTGTGACAGCAAGTCCCATAATGCTTTGCGGGGAGAGCTCTCCCCTCAAACCCCTCTGAGGCATTTCTTTTCTTCTCATACACTTTGCAGAATTTTTTTCTCTTACTACCCTCAGCCATTTTCAAAGAACTGTGGTGAGAAAGGTGAGCTTCAATGACTGTCTGAAAGCGTAGCTCACCACAGATATAAGCCTGAAAGTGCGCATGTGCAGAAAAAAATAGCTAACGGGAAGAGCACATAGGATGGCCTTACGTTAACATATACCCAGAATGACAAAAAATTAGTAGGACCAATTATTTAGATGATCCACCCAGAAATAAAATATTGTCCTCTATACCTTTAAAAGGCTAACAACAGGTCAATGATATGGCTCAAGAAAGACATACAATATTTAAATAAATTGTCATAAAAGCTGAGCTGTTAATGTATGGTATGTCCTCTCAGACAATACTAAGAAGAAAACCAGTAAAAAAAACTTTGGGTCTTGTAAGAAAATAAAAGTGTAAAAAAGTAAAGAAGCTTTAAAAGCTTGAATAAAGAAGACTTAACATCTAAGTTACAGCATTTATCAAAAAATAAATAAATAAATAAATAAATAAGTCAAACCCAAGCTGGTGATTGAAAGTTTTAAGCTAGTTAGAAGGTGGAAAGACAGGAACACCAGCAACTTCCAGCTCATATATGTGGATATTAATAACTAGCAAAAGAAAACAGTGAAGAACATGTTCAAAATGAGACCGTTTGTAGTTTGTTTTAGTGGCAGTTGAACAAGATAGCTTCAAAAGAAAGCTCAATCTGCAGAAAGATGAATTATGCATCGAGCAAGCAGCTTAGTAGTCAATGTCAAACTTTTAAAAACATTTTCTATCTGACTTGAACCTTCAGTTTGTGTATGGCAACAAAAGCACACAATTCAAACCCCACCTCTGAACACATTCAGGCTAAAACCTTCACACAGGTACTGAATGCTAATCCTACAACAGGGTAATCCTTGATTGCTCTGTTGCTCGTGGTAATTTAGCTGCTGTTGGGGCAGACTTTGCGAAGGGAAGGTTTTGGATAAATGCATTCAGACACATATATACATCCATTACACAGCAACACAAAGCAGACATTGCTGCTTTGAACTGGTCTGCTTTTTAGTGCCTTATACTTTTCAATGTGTGCAAATTTAGATTGCAAGTCTCTACTTGGATGCATTGTTAGGTCAGTTGATTTATCTCTGGTTTAATGGATTAGCATCCTGCATGAAAAATCATAGTTTAGACATATTTCACTCTGGTGCAGTTTTCTGATCCAGGTCTTAGGAGCTTGGATCCTTCAGGTCAGAGAGAATCTCATGATGGGAAGGAAACTGAGGCTAAAACACAATCAGCATAGTCAATGCAATATTGGTATTCCTAATAATATGCTCTAATAGTGCATGGTATTAACCTGGGGTGGTACTGTCCAGTGCTGAAATGGCTGGCGCCTTGTCTGCCCCTGCTGTGCAGTCACAACAGGCCCTGTCCAGTACTGAACCTGATTTAACCTAGGGTGGTACTGTCCAGTGCTGAAATGGCTGGCGCCTTGTCTGCAACTCCGGGCAAGCAAAAAAAGCCCCTTCCAAGGCCGAAACCGAAGAACCCCCGAAGGGGCCCGGTGAAAGAAGTAGGGGCAAGGCCGAAAGACCGGCCAAAGGCAAAAGGGTAAAATCCGAAAAAATGGAAAAAAATTGGTGGAACGGGTTCAAAAGGTGAAGGAAGGGCAAACCCCCCAAAAACCCCCAACCAAAAAAAATAAACTGGGGGCCCCCGCCGGGCAAGCAAAAAAAGACCCTTTCCAGTGCTGAACCTGATTTAACCTGGGGTGGTACTGTCCAGTGCTGAAATGGCTGGCGCCTTTTCTGCCCCTGCTGTGTAGTCACCACAGGCCCTGTCCAGTGCTGAACTTGATTTAACTTGTTCTCATTTTATCTGTTTTAAACTAAGTTTTAAGATGGAATGCACTGCCATGGAGTTAAAAGGTTTAATTTATATCTTTACACATAACAAATAAATGACTTCTTTGTTGTTGTTGGTTTTATAAACCTCAGATTGTGAAAATATAGGTCATGATTTCGTAGAAAGATATCTTATATAAACTAGATTTCTTCCACACAGGAGGTATATTATTAAAACGAAATGGCAGAGTTGACTTTTGTTTTCCCCTTTGAGAATTCTATGCACGTCTTCGATCGAGGACAGGTTGAGGCTACCGGTAGACACAGTGACATCCCTTTCATATGCAACTATGCCTTGTAGTGTCTGCAGAATGCAGGTTTTCCTCTCCTTTAAAAGTTCTGTGACCTTCGCAGAGAAGTTTGTGTAAAAGCTAAAAGTATTCCTCTTAAACGCTCTGTTTGTTTTACTATATTCCTTCCACTAAAGAGATATGAATGTATTTTTCCAAGGCTATTTATATAAACCAATACAAATAAAATTATATAATGCTGAACTTATTAATGACAGTCAGGATGGTACCCTTGATTCTGTTTAGGCAATATGATCACCATCTTAGTGACCCACGTTTAATAATATAATGATGCCAAATTTGCCCCATATTTTCATTTCAAAAAGTTTATTTCAAACCTGCACACATTTTACAATACATATAATGACAAACAATACATGCATGGCTTGAAAAGGGGATGAAAGAAGCAAAAGCTTATACATGTCCAATCCCCTCCTGCTCATCCCAAGGACACTCCTGCAAACGAAAAGACAAAGACAAGACAAACAACTCATCCACACTCATGCATACAAGACAACACACTGGCCCAACGCTCCCCGTCCCTGCAACCCCCTCCCTAAACCACACCACCCTCATAGAACATCACTCACTCTCTTCCAGGTATTTTCTCAGGACATCCCGCTTAAATATTATTTTGAAACGGTTTATATTTTCACAACACTTGTGTTCCTCCGCTAAATTATTCCAGAGGGTGATACCATGACTTGAGATGCACATTGATTTTAAGGTAGTTCTTACTTTTGGTTGGTATAATCGATTTTCCCCTCTAAGATTATAAGTGTGAAGTGCGTCCCGCTCCTGAAAGCGTTTTAACAGATTTTCTGGAAGAGAGCCAGTTGATGCTCTGAACATTATTTGAGCGGTTCTTAAGTTCACAAGATCAAACAATTTTAAATTGCAGGATTGTAAAAACAATACATTTGTGGGATGTAAATAATTTACTTTATGAACAATTCGAATGGCTCTTTTTTGCAGTGTAACCAGGGGCTGAAGATTGGTCTTAAAATTGTTTCCCCAAACTTCGATACAATAATTCAAATACGACATGACAAGTGAGTGATACACAAGGAACAATGCACTTTGGTTGAGGAAGTGACGTGCTCTGTTCATCACTCCCACACATTTAGCAACTTTTGTGCGCAAATAATTAATGTGATCTTTCCAGGAGAATGTCTCATCTATAATCACACCCAAAAAAGTATTTTGTTTAACCCTCTCTATACTTACATTAGCAATAATAATTTCGATCGGGACATTAGTTTTCCGTTTACCAAATAACATTAGTTTAGTCTTTTTCAAATTTAATGATAATTTATTGTTGTTGAACCATTTCTTTAACTTGTTCATTTCGATTGTTACTTGCGCCAAAAGTTGCTCCAAGTTGTCTCCAGTGCATACAATGTTAGTGTCATCTAACATTGTCAGCATCACTGCATAAGAATTTATGTGAGGGATACAAAATTGTCAAAGCAATGAACCAAAAACTATGTTACTTTACATCATTATACACTATGCAGACGTACAGTCAGCACAAATAAAGATTTACCAGCCTAAGCAAGCAGAACCCTTAGATGTGTCAACCTTAGGGCACGCTGACCAAAATTACTTCAAACGACACTGAATTTCAAACTATAACAGAACCTACAATTCTCCAAAATTAGCTTCCACAAATCTTTATATCGAATAACAGTTTTTAATCCCAACAGATAGAGCTAGAGAAGAAACTGTTTAATAGCAGCTTTAGCAAGTCTGGGATTTGTGAATGTGGAAGTCAAAGAGCAAGATGACCAAATACATCAAGTTCCTCCAGCTCTCTGGAACCAACTTATGTAAACAATAAAATCTGCAAAAGAAAACCATAACATATTCAATTTCAGTATAATTAAATTTCATTCAGTTTATTTATATAGCGTCAATTCACAACACATCATCTCAAGGTACTTTGCAGATAAAATTCAACCAAATCATACAGTCAA